CTTAATACAAAGCGTGCCAAGTAAACCGGGGCGACTTGAACATAAGCTAAAATATTTTGCTTGCAAACGCGGGACCAATTTTATTTTAATTAACTTTAAGTGTAATTTACAACTCTAAAACAATAGCTGCACTAGCAAGTGAATGTGTAGAAAATTCATCTGGTTATGCACTCAACTGTCTGCAAACTTTTCGACTATGGCAATCTTAGTACTAAGGTTTCCCTCCCTCCTTAAAAACAAAATGAAAGCCGAACGCCAAAACGTCTTTGCCGTGAAACGGCTTGGAAACTAAAATTTCGAGGACGTTTTTGGACTTTTTACATTTAGGGTATGAATTTTTCGTCATTTCAGGCCGTGGAACCTAAAAATGAGCCTAGCTAGCTGTAAAAAGGGGCAATACGGAGGCAATACGTCCTAGCCGGCATGATCACATGCTGTTTACGGAAAATTCCCTCATCCATGTCAGGAAATTCTGCATTTTAAAGCCTCCCCTAGGGCATGACTCAGCAATTGAGGACATTTCTGCTATATTTTCATTGTTGGTTAGCATGCAAGGATTTTTCGCATGCCTATCGTCAATGATTTGCTCACTGGTAATAGAGGGGGTGGCCCCAGAGTGGTTTTGCATTGAAATAGGCATGCAACAGAATTTCGCATGCCCTGTAAGCATAATTTGAGGTTCTGTGACCTTCTCACCCAGGCCGCGAGAAGCCTAGGTTCTAGTAATAAGTAATTCATACCCAGCAAAATCTCCGGCATGCCGGGCATGCCAAATTTTCTGACATGCCCGGCATGCTAAATTCTCTGGAATGCCGGGCGTGCCATAATCTGGGTCATGCCGGGCATGCCAAAATCGGTCTCTGGCATGCTCTCAACGCACAGGTTATAATTCCTTGAATCTACCGATATTTTAAGCCTGGCTAAAAAAAAAAAACTAAACAGATCACAGTGCTTATCTTTTGATGTACGGTTACACGATGACGTCATTGCTATTCCTTTCATTTTCATAGATTTGGATGTCCCAGAGAACTTTAAATAACAAAAGCTCTAATTTTCACAAGCAAGTAAAACCCTGAGGGATTCGCCCGTAGTAATAAAACAGCTTCATCGTGGAGATGACCTGTTGGGGGATTGTAAAAACTCCTCACCCCTTTTAATGAGTCTTTAATAGGATTCCCATTTCACATTGCGAATAAAATGGAATTGACTGAAATCAGTAAAAAGAGAGACAGAGACTATTTTCATTGTATAATAAAATGCATCTATGTTCCATGAAAGCTTTTAAAAATACAAGGTTATAGAATATCTTTCAAAGTTCATTACAAACTGAGCTAAGCCCCAAAATCACTGTTCATTATTCAGTAAATTATGATGTTTGACAATGCAATGTGCTTGAATATAACGTTGCAATTACAAATCTCTCTAACGCAATTTTCCCTACGTTAGAAAAGCTGTTAGATAGTCTGAGTTCCTCTTTCTTGTTTTGTAGGCTTGCCAGGGATTAATGTTTTTGTGTCATTACCAGTGTCTGTGTTCTTTGTTTTTAACTCAAAGTAAGTCAGTAATAACTGACAGTATCAAAGAATTGCTCTCTAGAAAAGTAATTATCTCCTCGTCATGTCTGGAAGTTACCTGTCACAAAAAAGAAATGGAATGTTAACACATGCAAGGGCAATATAAAAAAAAGAAATAGAACATGTAGACTCAGCTTCTCTTAACATATTTTCATACTGGCTTGTTGAGTCTGTTAAAGGTCTCAACTAATTGTCTGAGGCTAATTTCACAAGAGTGTGCAATTGAGATAAATGCATGGTAAATAAAGTGAAAGAAACGTGGTTTCACATTAGCCAATTTACATTGCGTTGTTCGATGATGTTTACACGCTTTTCTACTGCGAAATAAACCTCTGCATTTGGATTTGCAAGTCAAGATTATACCGAGTTTGACTGACACTTAATTGAACAACAGTTTCATTTTTAAGCAGGTAAGGTGTAGACCCATATAAAGCCGGAATATGTAAAAAAAAATCAGCGAAAGCGTTTTCGCATCTTTTTGTGGCGATATTCTCTCACGGCCCGTCAACTGATTAGGGGTTGCGAAGAAAAAATAAATTAGGACCAAAGGTTAAAGCCTGTCCGGTTACATCATTTCGTATGTTACCTAGAGTTCTAATAAATAGGTCATAAAATAGGATTTAACGAGAGCGAATTTGTTTCTCAATTGGTGTGTAAAAAAGTGAGGCTATCAAATGAGAAGTTTATAGAGTATCAAAATTATTAAATTAAAAGCTCATATAATTAGGAAAATTCCTATACGAAAATAATGCTAGTGACATTAAATTGATCAGATAAAATTCTCAGAAAATATGTCGAATAAAAGCCTCATTGTTTGCTTTTGTTTTTGCGTAAAGGTAAATTTTTCGGCCCACAAAGCAAAGTTGAAAAAGCGACTAAATCTTAGTTTTTTACATTGAACATGTTTATTAGCTTAGTTTTCGTCCGTTTTAAAAGCTTTATAACCCAATCATAATTTAATCATAAAATAGTACAAAATCATTTCAAAAACCATGTTCATTTAAAATAGAGCCGGCAAACGTGAACATTTTGTAATTCAAAAGTCGGACCCAGCCAGGTTGTTTAAGCTTAGAATTATCTGCATTTTAGCGTCCTATAAATTTACCAGAATCGCCTCTCAGAGGCTTACTGTAGCAAAGCATTTTGTAGTACACTCGTAGACAAGCAATGTAAGCCTTAAGTCTTTGCTTGGATGAGATGTCCAAAAGAAAAATTAGTTTTGTGGACCTAAACGCACATTCACAGACTGCTTATATTGAGTTGTTTACAACTTTGCATTGACACACGCGTACCCTGCGAGCAGAGGCTACATTTTCGAGGTATGAGCTGGCGTGCGAAAAGTAGCTACTTTTCGCACGCCAGCTCATACCTCGAAAATGTAGCCTCTACTAGCGCTCGCAGGGTAACACACGCGGCATGTTCATTTTTTTAAAGCGAAATCCAAATCTGATTTTGGCATTTGATTTACGGATATTTTATTTTGTATCCAAAAGTGATTGTAATATACGTTTGATTGTCTTCCAAACAACAGTCAAACTATGCAGCAATTGCAAAAATAAGTAACTTTACCAGTACAGTGAAAAAAATATGACCGTAGGTGCCAAAAATAATTATACTCGAGCTATAAAATTAGATCTGACTTTTTTTAGCTTTGGTTTCTTATTATTGAAGTTTTCTCTAGTCTTCTTAGCAGCAGCAGAAGAAGATTACAAGACATACAAACAGAAACAATCCGAAGTGAACGAGATGACAACCACTTATGCCGGAGTTCTTAGGCATGCTCAACAGCAAGATAAACTGAATGCCTAAAAGCTAATTCACGGGAGTTGTTCAATATTCAGGCTTTTTCTTTACCAAATTAATACTAAATTTGTACTTACAGTCTCTCGCAGAATCCATTTCTTGTTCAGCATTCACCAACATCTCAACCATGCACCGCAGAAAAAAAAGACAAACAAGTGCGAAGAGACATGACGACATCGTGACGCCACATGCAACTGCCACGCTACAACAAACTAGATTCATCATCATCCGAAAACACTTCGGCGGAAATTCGGCCGATTTCGTGCGTGCTCGGGGTATCTTCGGATGACGCAGATAACGTTGCTCAAAGGACTATCGTCAGCAAGGAGTAAAACAGTTTGCGAGATTCGCATAGCCGACAAGGAGCGCACTGAAAAACTAAGCAAAATCTCTCTGAGAAGGCAGTCCAAATTCACCAAATCAGAACGTCTTTGCAGTATTAACGTCGTACTCTCGTACTGACTTGAACGACCTGGTAAGCTTAATTTTCACCAGTCTTTTAATGCTGTTGGCCGGGAAACATTCCGACGCGATAAAACTTAAGAGCGGCCGTCCGTAAATATCGCCTGGGGGTGTGCAAAATGAAAAAATCGAAAATCCCCAAACTTTGTCAGAATATAGGTCTAGGTAAACTATTTCTAGAAAAATAACTTTTAGTTCGATTGGATTGTTATTTTACGCGTACGGCGACCGAGTCGGTTCGGAGGCTCTCAGATCAGTTTTCACGGGCTCAAAACCATATATTACTTAAAAATCGTTTAAAATTTAAAGAAGTGAAAAACTTTGTCTCTGAAAATCTTAATAGAGAGAGTACAACTTAAGCAATAGTTTTGATGTGAAATTTTCCTATTCGTCAGCAAATCTAATATTTTTCGGATTTTTAATAATTTTGCTTATTTTACCGATTTTTGACAGACATAAAATTGGCAAATTTCAGAAACAAAAAGCACTACTTGGTATACGCCTTTGAGCCATAACTTACCTACCGATAGAAAGAGCAAGGTGCCTTGCTCAAATAAATGCAATAAAATTTTTGGGCAATCCTGCCGGGAAAATTTGTGAATGCCAAACAAAAGCGACCCTTGAGGTCAAAACACGCCATTTTGTCACGACAATAGAAGGGTAAAAACAACGATACTCCCGGTTAACAAGACACTTTTGCGTTTTTCCGCATGGAACTCTTTCCATTTGCCGAAAAAATTTCTTTTTAAACAGCTATATGCCTTGTTCCGTGCATTTTGTTGGGAACCGTTAGCTAACAAGTGACATTTTGCGTCTTGGAAGAGTTGGAAGAGTTCTCGTCTGCTGAGCATACCTCGGCCAATTGCCAGACCACCAACGAAGGTTTTCAAAAAGAAAACTAAGTGGTAAAATCCTGCTAGCTGTGTGAGTAAAACTCTTTCTCAAAAGGGTGGGAGACGTGGGCACCAATGAAGTGGCTGCATAGTGCGCTTTTACATGCTGACGTCGACCTCACGTCTCTCGTAATTCCCACGCAATTCAGCCATCGGTGGCAAGGGAGGAAAGTTGGCTCTCGTTTATTTATTTGATTATTTATAAATTTATTTATTTTTTTATAAATTCTCTACAATATTTTATTCTGCAGTCTTATCATTGTCAAAAATGGCCAATACAACCACCCGACCAAGAAAGCGAAGACACGTCTTAAATGAAACTTCAACTAGCATCACAATACATGACGTGAGAAAAGAAATCACAAAACAGTTTCAACAACTTATGCCCGTCAAGTACTGTAAGTCAAGTGAGAAGGTATGTCCCGCGGGTCCCCCCGGACTTCCTGGTCCCACTGGGACAAAAGGTCCACGTGGCAGGAGGGGACCAAAGGGAAAGAAAGGCCCTCAAGGTCCCTTGGGACCACCTGGAAAATCTGGAAAAACAGGAATGGCTGGTCCTGTCGGACCGAGGGGAGGAAAGGGAGATAAGGGAGAAGCGGGGCCAAAAGGCATGCCGCGACCGCCTGGAAAGCCTGGAAAATCGATATCTGCACCACAAGTAATGTTGACCCCGGTAGAACAAACCAGAGACGACGGAGGAAATACGGCGCTTTATTGCACGGTTGGGGGCAATCCTCTCCCTTTCGTCGAATGGAGCTTCAAGGGCAGAAAGCTCCTGTCAGGTGCAAAGTATTTGATTAAAGAAGGAGAGTTAATCGTTAGAAATCTGAATTACAGTGATGCTGGGCAGTACACATGTGCTGCCAGGAATATTCTTGGATCGTCTGTGGCCACTAGTAACCTGTCTGTTCGAGGTAAGAGAGAATAGAATTGTTCTTCAGATCTGATGTTTTTTTTCCTTATACTTGATCACTCACTCATGTAGTCTGCATATTTGTCTGAAGTAGCCTGAATTCAACCGCAAGTCACAAACTCTTGAAAAGGATTTCGGAATCAACGAGACGCTAATGCCGTCCAGTTTCGTCACTACAAGAAAATCGGGTACTGATTTTGATGAGTTGTTTGTCGACACATTTGCATTTTTATGAATGAATGACAAAAAATTTAACCCGAAATGTCGTATGATACTCAACGGATCGCATGCTTCGCGTGGACTTTTACCGTAAGCAGTACCATAAACTTTCTCCAAACCTTTTCTTCAAAACTAGGACTTTCTGTCAAAGTTACCTTCTGGCGCTCCCACTGACCGCACTTCTCTCATGACCGAGAGACGACTGGGGACGAGTCAGAAATTTACCTACGAATGAAGATTTAGTGCACTGGATCGCGCGAGCACTTTTCACAATTGGTTTAGTTGCGGTTGAGAGATTAAGTAAGGCTTTTTCGTAATTATGTCTGCTTTTGTCTTTATATCTATTAAACATGTGTCCGTCACGTTTTTTCTGACAGCCCGCTTAATTTCCCCTTATTTCTACTTGGTGCCAACACTAAACAGGGGCACCCAACGAGGATATACTTAAAAAACACTTTAGCATAGCGTTGTTAAACGTATATAGGTATATTTCTATCTGCTAAAAATTTTTCATCTGTTCGGATTTCCTAGCTGAAAGTCTAGTGATCTGAAAATTATAGGTATCAAAACCTACCTTTTCGAAAATTTCAGCAAGAAAAAAGGCTCCCGAAAATTCTAGGTGACCTTTTCAGGGTAAAAACCCGTTAAAAATGGGCAATTATTCCATTTTTTAGGTGTTCGAAAAGCCTATGAGAGGCAGGCAAGCAAAAAATTTTACAACAATGTTCCGAAAATTCTAGATCTCAAATCGTCTTCCCAACAGATTTTTCCGAAAATTGACGTTGGGTGCCCCCGACTAAATTTTAATGAGTTCTTGTCCGTTGGTGATTCTTATGATGCTATCCCTTACCTACGGCTGCCAGAGTGTACGGCTGCCTCAATATTAAGACATGGCGAGTAAATTTTTCTCTTATATTTTTAGGTCTTCCAGTTTTCACAAAAATTCCACCATCACTCGCCACACCAGTGGAGCACACTACCTTTCAAGCGGATTGTGAAGCTGAAGGGTTTCCTCGTCCCGTAGTTAACTGGACAAGATTAGTTCTGCCGTTACCTGCTGGAAAGGCTAAGGTAAAAGAACGGACACTTACAATCAAGAACTTAAGTCCTGCTGACAGTGGTTATTACGTTTGTGTAGCTTCGAACGTTATGGGGACAAAGAAGGTCAGAATTGACCTGGTAGTGCAACAACGACGATCAGGTATGTCTTTGGTTCGGCTGGGTAATTAAAAATATAAAATGTTGGCGTGCGTACTGTAATAGCTGCCTTCGTTACCTTGGTTTGGATTCGCGTGAAAGTGTTATTTCTTGGTTTATTTTTACGGCCCTTTTTTTTAAATTTCCAACAGTTTCAGCATATTCTGTAGGTGTGATAACTAAACTTATGTCATTATCACAATATGTTGGAAACTCATTTTACTTTGTAGTGTCTTCATTGGTTTTGTAAATGGATATTGTTCTTGTCCTGGGCCGAGCTTGTTCTTAGAACGCCATATTGAGTATTGCTTCCGACCAAATTTATCATCAGGTTTAGAAGACTCTGTTATCGTGGGAAACAGCAAGAACCACTTAACCTCTTTAACCAACTGGCTAGTACCTGTAGAACAGAGAAGTACTTCCGTCTGGAAGCGCTGTTGGCGTGCATCGGTGGACGACTGGGCTTCAAGAACATTTCATTCCCGGTGTGACGGAAAGGGACCGACTGTAACAATAATAAGGGTCGGGAGATATATTTTCGGAGGATACACCAGTTTACCATGGGGTACGTTAATAATGAAATCAGACATAACACTTCTACAGTTTGTACTAACCTTTACATGAGCCTTAAAAATACAGAATGGACAAAAATTCTTGGCACAAATTTGCAATAATCACGCGTGCCCAACTACTTCGATTCTTCCCTCAACCCAGAAACAACGTCAGACGCCTTTATCATTATAATTGAAGGCCAATTTGCCCGCGTGCGAATGTGATGGCAAATATTTCAAACTTGAATAAATTACCTAATACAAGGGCTTTCGTAGCGGCTGAAAATGGATCGGTTGAAGTACTGGAGTTGGTGGCTTTATTTCTCCTCAAGACGGGTACCTTCAGGACCTTCAGTGCTAAAAACGGATAGGAGATTTCCGTAGAGGTTATATCGTGCTTTGTTGAGATTTTTTGCCAAAAGAGAAGGGAAAATACACAGTAACTTTGATAACTGTAGGAGAGAGTCCGTCGACAGTTCTTCTCTATTTGTGTGTCAACTTTCACAAATGTGTTAGCGTTGCATCTTAAGGTTAAATTTGACCAGCTATTTGTGCAGCGAGTTCTACGGTCACGATTGACTTCAAAGTTGCAGATATAAAACTTAAGGTGATTCCCTGGTTTTGCACTGCGCATCTCTTACTGCGCATAACAAGATGGCCGCAGTAAAAAAGAGCATGTGAAGTAACATTATTAAAATGAAGTTGACTGAAGAGAAACGCTATTGGAATTTTTGCTTGCGGTTGTTTCTTGGCGAGGTGACACTCATTGTGTTGGGAATGTGCATAACGTAAGCAGTACGCGTTTTTGCTGAGTTCGACTTCCTCACGTAGAACCTCGATAGTGGATGTTAAACTTGTGCTTACTCACTTTTATTTTCATTTAAACGCTTTCTTTATCACATTGTGTCCTAAATGTGATAACTCGTTGTAAATTCTGTAAAAACGGATTTTTTTAATACTTTCCTCCCCCTTTCAAATACATTCTACTTTGAAACTCGCCCCAGTCCTCTCTCAAAATCGGAGAAAATGCATTTGGTGGGCACTTTCTGCAGCTCTACCGCAAAAACGAGTACAGTGAACCCCATTTTTTATTTCATGATTTTAATAAGGACAGTGCTTCCTTTCGATGAGAAAAAAATGGGCACAAATCTATGCTCAGTTTTTTGGCAATTTTACTAAATTGTACGGATTGAGCTATCACGGGTTGAAGAGCGCGTGTCCAATTTAATAATTTAATACCACATGCAATTTAATACCACATGCATCATCGAAAAAATCTCTCCTTTTTGTCTCGTTTTGGGCTACCCGTGATTTTTTGTAAAAGGGTCCTAAATAGCCGTATTTGTCAGCATTGTGACGTCAAAACGAGCACGGTGACCCCCACTTTTTATTACCTTTTTATCATCTTCTTGACTTGTTGTATCAGTGTACCAAGTTTCATCCACAATCTATGTTAGGTTCTTTTACTAAGGAATCACCTTAAGAGCTCTGAGGCTTATTTGCCGAAGTTAGAGAAAAATCTGTCTTAGGGTTTTGAAATTGTTGACATTTTTCACTTGTAAAAAAGCGGTTTTAAACATATGCCGATATCTCAAACGTTTTCATACCTATAAGAAAATAAATAGCATTTTCTTAAAGTTTGACCATTCTTTATTAAGGTTGTCAAAAATCATAGAAATCGGTTGAATCATTCCTGCCGAGAAACACGATTCAAAAACATAACCAACGCGAAAATAAATAGTTTCGGGCCACCTTAATTCATCATTGCATTAATTTGTCTTTCTGCCTGTTGAACTGCGGCAAGCGTAAACTCTTTCCTCTTTTAAAAACGGCTGCAGTGATCTCTTTTGAAATAGGGTCGATAACCATTTTGCACGTCTGGTGCACGGCAATCATGCATGTAAAGCGGGAACATTATTTTCTTTTGTTGTTAGAATCTTGTGGTTAGCTTTAATTAGTTAAATCTTTTAAATGGTTCACTTTGCCTGATGATTTTTAACCGGATAAATAGTTATTGATTAATTTGTATTTATATTTTTTTACCTGTGACTTAATCTTGCCTCTACCATAGTTACATCTTTTCCTTCGAGACCAATAAGAATTGGCGAGATTATTTAGAAAACATCCTCAGTTAACTATGCTAAGCAGAAAAATTATGTATGTAACTCCAATTTATTTTGCAAGAAAGGTTAATGTGTAGCAACTCTCTTTGAATATTTTTGCAAATTATGGCTTTATTTTTTCCTTTTTCTCTCCTTTCTAGATACTTCTGGTAGTTATCATCATGACCCCAAAGCTTTTTTATTTTCATTGGTAAACTACCCAGGATGGGCACCTCTTAAACTGCCTCAGACGGGGAAACACAGTTCTTCCAGAGGTTCCATACGTTGTCACTCATTATTGGGGCCAACGTTCGGAGGCGGATATGACATTAGCATTTACAACAACGCGCGATCCAACAGCAATACTTACAGCAACCTTGGCCATACATACAGTCCACCGAGAGGTTACAGCTACCCCAGCTCATTCGCCCAAACATTCCTGGCAGGAGCTTACAGCTTCAAACCTGACGAAGTAGAAACATTTTACGAAACAACATGAACATAGTAAATGACATTCGCTTTAATATTTGAGGTGGGCGGTTTGCCCTGCATCACAAGAGTTGTAAATTCATAACTAAAATAAGCACTAAAGGTATATCCCTTTCTGACAAGCATAGACACTTGGCTGCTGCCTCAGAACTTAGTTTAGACGAAGTAGCCCCATAATCATGTAATATACTGATCATAATAATAGAGAACTGAAATATTAAGTGCAAAGACTGTCTCTGCTTTTAGTATTGTTCAAACTAGTTCATATGGCACGACGTCACCAAGTAACTTCCCTGGAATAAGATATGTCACTTTAGAAAAACATGAAAAATGATTAGCCGCTGAGAGGCAACAACAACAACAACAACAATCTTTTATTGACTCACACGCTTATAATTATTACAACCGAATTCAATAATTGTTTTATTATACATTTTTTAAACAATAGGCAAAAGAAGACTTTCAACCATTCTGTTTCTGAGGAGAACACTCCAAGGGGCTTGGTAACCAGGCAGACGTTGAACTTGACATGATAAATGCAATATCTGCAGCAGATATTGCATTTATCATGTCAAGTTCACAAGCTATTGTGAATTGATTGAATGCTCTCGACCAATCAGATTTTTCATAGTGAGTCTGATGTATAATAATAATTAATTATTTGAAGCCTAGAGGCTAAAGGAACCGTGAGGTTTTCGATTTAGCCCATAATACTATTTTAAGTTTGTTTTAATTAAAAAGGAGAGCCACAAGGGGAGAGGAACTAATAGCATAATTAAGTTATAGTTAATAATAAAATTTCTATTCAGGTTACTTTCGATTATCGTTCCGACAGCAAATAACAACGCTTTATTTCTTTGGAAAAGGACTGAATGTAGTGAGGTCTTTCACGTGATGGGGAATATCGCGCCATTTTCGTTAGACGTCAGACTGAGATCAGGTAAATCTTTAATTTTCGTGTTGGCCAGCTTTCTACTACTGCCATAGAATCTATTTCGGGTATCCCTCCTTGTAAACTTAACACTGATTATTTTTGGAGGCGCATCCGCCTTACAAGTGGGAATTTGATGAGCGATATCACCGTTTCTGATTGGCTCAAAGTCCCTGGCTAATTCTTCATAACCAACTGGCGTTGACAAAATTTGAAGATGCGAGCAATAAACCATCGATTCGATAGTATATTGACTTGGAAACGAGGTTAATCGATGGTTTATTGACTCAGATACGAGGTTGTATGGGCAATAGACCATCGATCAACCCCGTTTCAAGGCGCGGCGGCCCAACTGTTTATTTACGAGTGCTAAAAAACGGAAAGAACGGAAGGAAAGCAAGAATACGCAAAACATATTGCTCCGGATGTTGATCTACTTTTTGTGGAGTAAATGCGGCAAATAGGCCAAAGTTTAGAAGAAAGTCTACGAGGAGATTTTCATGAAAGCTTGTTAAGAACTTAAAAATATTTTGAATGAATATAAAACAATTATTGAATTCGGCTTTTGTAGGATGTGAAAAATTATGCAGATCTCGGAAGATGTTATCCACCTCGGCCTTCAGCTTCGGTGGATAACATCCTCCTTGATCTGCATAATTCAAATCCCACAAAAGCCGAATTCATAATTGCTAAATATCAAACGAAAGTAATTGTTTTATTATTATTTCAAATTACTTTTAACCCCTTGATTTATGAAAAGTTCGCAATCCCGTCGTCATAACATTTGCCTGTTCTTTGGAAGTTTTAGGATATAAAGGGATTTCATGATCAGTCTAGAAATGGTTCTGCAAATAGTAGTTGTCACCCGTCGAGCGATATTTTTGCTAACCCGCTTGGCTATGTCTTCTTTGCATAACGCGTAAAATCTGCCGCCATTTTTTTTAGCTCTGCCAAAACACAAAGCTAAGCTAGGGGCCTTCTGAAGCAGTGTCTGACTGTTTCTGCCAGTTATCCGTAATTAAGTGACTCATCTTTTAGGAATATCGGCAAAGGCTAGCTGATTATTGAGAATTAGCCGGGGGATTTAAGCCCCTCAAAATGGAGAATTATAGTATTGAGTGAAAAAGTTATCTTTAATTACCATCATCGTCATGAGACATAGCTACTTTTGCTCAATTATAACTAAGTTCAGCTGAAAGGAAGACTTAAAAGTTTCGCTTAGATTAGTGGTTCATTGGGTTGTTTATCATTCGGCTATTAAAAAATAATGAAATAATTAAAAGTTGTAGTCCGTGAAAAATTCTTGTTTTCTGAAACCCGGTTTATCAAGAAGAGAGATGAAGTAGTGCTGAACATTTTTTGTTCCGTTGGGATCTTATGAATTGGCTTAAAAATTTGACTCGAAAAAGAAAAGTTTATTACTTAACATTCTGCGGTTAAAAAAACCCTTAATTTTCAAAGGATTTTTTTAACTGGATCAGTAAGATGCTCCGGCCGTGGCGTCCGTATGTTCATTTAGCCCTTGCAAAATTGAAGTTAATGTGATAACCATAGATTCACTTAAACCATTAATCAGGGACGAACCAAGCGAAGTTCGTAGGCCTAGGCCAAATGTCGAACTTCGTTTGGTTCGTCATTCCTCGCTAACGTCAAGTTCCTTAGCGTAATAATACGCTTTAGTGGCAATGTTAACCCAACGATTTAGAGAGCCGTGACTCGGCCCCTTTAACGGAAACACCTGCGTGTTCATTTAGACCTTGCGGGTTTCAATTTCATTTCACTAGCCAGGAGTGAGTTCCAATTCCAGGAATAGGTACTGTCACCATAATTGGAATTCAGGTTTGATTCCCAACAGCCTTCGTACCACCATGCTCCCTTTCCACTTACAGCACAGTTACTGGCACCAGATTTGTCATTGTCGCGGTCCTTTGTAGTGAAAGCCATGCCATTATGAAGAGCCAGTTGATCTGTAGCTGTACCAGAGTAAAACCCAACAAACAACGTGTAGTTAGACGCTTCGTTAGTAACTGTAAAATTACCGTACTTGGCGTACTTGTTGCCATCATTTTTTGTCTTAATTTCCACTCGCAGCTGACTGGGAATTTCTGTCAGTTGATGAATCTTCTCGTTTCCAAGCCAAAACTCTCCTCTGACGTCACCAAAGCCGTTTTTGTACTCGTCCCACCCCCTGTAGAATCCAACAAAGCCATTAAAGCGCTTGTGAAAGACTGTCCACCCTCCACCATCAGTCTTCATGTCACAGAACACCTCAAAACTGGTCTTATTTGTTGGGTTTACTGCGTACACGGCATTCTCTTTGAAACCGGCGTTCAACAGCTCGGCACAATCTCGGGCTGTAAAAATTAAAAAATAATAAAACCAATTATTTTAAGTCAGTTACTATAAATAAATAAATGAATGAATCAATAAATAAATGAGTTAATAATCAAAGAAATAGCTTATCATATCGAGCCTCACTTTTAGGTGCTAACAACCTGAAAGAACCAGTGCAAATGTTAGATGGGTTATGGGACGAAGACGTTAAACTGACTTCAGGCAAGGCAGATTGGTTTGACCACTATGGACGGGGAGATAGGGAAATAAATTTCCTATTCATTGTTGTCCAATCAGCCTTAACACTCTGATCTGTGTGTTACCTACATCGCTGATACTGATCTACACCAAGGTCCGGCTTCCCCTCACTGCCGTTTGTCTAAGTGGTCCTTGCAAGAATTTTTCGTCATGGGAGTGAGATAGCTTCTGGGTGAGCTTCAGTTTAATTGAGGGAAGGGTGAGGGGAAGCTCAAAACTCATTAGAAAGATAAAATGTTGATGGAAACTGTGCCATTTTTTTGAATAGGACTTCCTTGACCAGCATTTTTAAGCGGAACCTTAATGGGTAGTTAAAACTGAAAATACTGATGCGTGACCTGTAAGGCAGTTGTGTACGAGTTAAGTCGAATTGAAATCAAAACATTTTTTCAGTAAGCTAATCTCGGCTTACAAGGAAATTTTTTAGCATCAGGCTTACGTGTGATTTTCTTCCCAGACGCAGGGTTTGCTTCACAAACATGTTTTTGTCTCAGGCCCCTTTATACGGAGAAAAATTGTCCGAGTAGCGGAGCTATCCTGGGCGAGCCAACCTTTTATACATTTCCTTACAAAACGAGGCGAATCGTTTACATGAGAAACAAAAAAGTTAGCTCGGCAAGGGGAAACAGCCTAGGGTCACCATGCTAGCTGGGCCAACTTTTCTTCATATAAACACTTTGGCTCACCCAACCGAGTCAAGTCGGTCAGGGCCATCAGGGCATGCGTGCGCCGTTTAGATAATCAAAGCATGCCCGAGGGGTGAACTTTTTTCTCTTATAAACGCTCGCTAAAGTTGACTCGGCCAGAAGGGTGACACTGTTTCCCAGTACAACTTTTCTCCATGCAAACGGGGCCTTAGTTCGATTAAGGGGCCATTACGGTTGGTTTTTTAAATATTGATTGGGAAATATTGACTTGGGAGGCAAATAAATTAGGTTAGAAAATAAGGTATACACAGAAACCAGCATGAGTTAGTCCGCTAATAGGATCAGAGGCACCTTGTTGTGGTGGTGGACTATCTGGTAATTGCCTACAAATTTTTCACATCATATTTTACTTTTTATTACCCCCAATTCCAATATTTTCTAATTTTTCCAAAACTTTAAACATCCCCCGCCCCTAATTTTTGTACATTAAAAACATTCGAAAAATCATCCAAAATTCTCAAAAAAATTATTGAATTAAGGACTCCAACTTAATGGATTCATTTTTTGATTGCACGAAATCTTGGCTAGATATTAAAGGAAAAGGGTGGAAATCGACGAAAAATTATGCTTTTAACAATACTGCTCCCTTAGAGGGACAAATTAAGGGTGCCTTCCACGAACACAATCTATCTCGCTGGAAAAAGTGAACGCGGTGAAGGAAACTCAATTCACCGCGAACTCAAAAATGAGCCGCCGAAGGCGCGCAAATGGGGTGAAGGAACGAAAAATCCACCAATGACTACTCATGGGATTTTTTTAAAAAAAATTACGAACAGGCGCTTTCTTCATATCAGCGAATGAAGTTTGCTGAATACCGCCCTCTAACAAAGGGGCTGAGAGACTTTAAGCAATTTACAACAAGGAAAAAACTTTGGGCATTTTTTCCACCATCAAAATTTCTGCCCGACCGATTTTCATTTTATTTGGGCCACCAAATGATACATCTTCTATTCTCTCTAATCTTTGAAATATCTATTAGGTAACCTCTGTTAACTTCACCTCAAAATTATCTCTGCTTACCAGTTTTCACAGTGAGTTGTACTTCAGTCTCCACGCGAACCGTCTCACTCTGGGCAGAGCAAGTATAAACATCACTGTCTTCAGCTGTCAAGCTGTTTATATTAAGCTGTCCGTCCTTCACCCGTGTGCGTCCTTCTGGCATATCTCCTTTGCATCTTGACCATGTTATTTTCGGAACTGGATGTCCGACTGCGGAGCAGTTCAGTGTAACTGACTGTCCATGATAAATCTCTATCTTCTTTGGTGGTTTGACAGTAAATTGAGGCACCACATTAATGATCAAAGTTGTCATGGCGTGCGAAGCGCCCATGGCGTTTTTAGCCGTGCAGATGTATGTTCCTCCGTCTTTTTTCTCCAGTTTTTTTATCGTCAAGGTTTGACCTTCTACAGCGCTTCTTCCAGTTGGAAGTTGATCAAAAAGCTTTGTCCAGGAGATCACTGGAGGGGGATATCCGATGACCCCGCACTCGGGGAGACTGATATCTTTACCCATCTCAGCGTATATTGGTCCAGGGAGAAGGGAAATATCCGGAAGAGCTGTAATAGAGGAATATTATAAGATTAGATTATAATTCATCTTATATTTTATTGACGTAATCGATTTGCCTACTGTAGGGATTTAATTTAATTTTGTTTTTCATGTACTTATACTTCTTGGAAGAAAGGATTGAAAATGTAGCATGCACATGAAACATATTTTCATCAAATAATAAATTTAGGGGCTACGTCTACTCTTAATTTATAAATCATATGGTAGAAATACACTTTTGGTTAGAACATAATGATGAAAACAATAAAAAGTTGAGTTCAGGGATAGACATCGCTTTTTTAAAACTGAGTAGTGAACGGATTGATTGGAACAGACAGGGTAATAGGCCGTCCTGGAACAGGCCAGTACCCCAAAAATTGTAATAGTAACTGAAGGGATTTTTAGACATCAAGAAAAGAAGAAAGCGGGATCGACGATATAAATGTAGTTTTATCAATATTCGGTATAAAGACTAAGGATAACTAAGTATGAGTGTACTGTAAACGTTCTGTCATAGAAGAGTGCATTTTATTGGACAAATTATTGCTGTGTATTATTTTACCTCGGACATGAAGTGTGACAGCTGCCTGAGCGGTTCCTTGATCTGTACTTATTGTACAGACGTACATCCCATTATCACCATTGATCACATTCTTCATATACAGTATTCCTTTGACTATGGCATATCTTCCAACGGGGAGAGATCCATCTTTTTTAGTCCATGAGATTGTTGCAACAACGTTTTTATCCGGTGTACACTGAAATTTAGCTGACTCGTTTAAAGCGACAATCATAACAGCCGGTTGGACGAAAATCCCAGGAGCCTTAATGACGTCCACTGATTGGTTCACAACTGGCTCCAGGGAAGTTGGAATCGATGAATTTGATTCTCCAGGGTCCCCTCTTAGTCCCTTCAAACCAGGGGGCCCCTGAGGTCCTTGAGATCCTTGAGGTCCTCGGGGTCCTGCAGGTCCTTGAGGTCCCGGTGGTCCTTGAAGTCCCGGGGGTCCCCGAGGTCCCCGAGATCCCTTCACACATATGTGGCGTCCTTTCTTGGTGCAGACTTTACGTGTTGCAGAGTTGACAGCTTTAGTGATTTGTTTTTGTATCGCTGGAGTCAGAGAACTGTTGTTTTTGTCCGAGGGCTTGAGGGCTCGAGCGCTTCGATGTCGTTTTACATCTGGAGACAAATGCGAGTCAATATTCACGGAAAGAATATCTGAAACAAAAAAAAGTGGCCATAGTGTCAGGATAACGGCGCGCTTGAGCGAATTAGGATATGGTTGTTTATTCACTATTAGGAGGGTCTTAATGGGGTAGTGTCTGTTACGGCTAACGGTTAATTATTTCCCGTTACAGTTAACTGATATCTGTTAAAAATTAATTACAGTTATTATTCATTCAAAATATTTCCCCAATTCTGATTGGCTAAAAGCACACGCATAAATTCACTATAATCAGTTACTGATGACAAATTTGGAAGAATTTTGACTTTAACGAGGAAATGACGTCAAAAATGCAGCGTTCTTACAGGTTAAGGTACCGTGGGAACGAGGCTGAGTTGTTTTGGTTGTGAAAATAAAAATGGCGGACACTTCACTCGTTTCAAGAGTAAAAACAACAGCTGGAACCAGGCGTAATAATAGCAAAAAACATAGCAAAAACAGTAAGAAGACAACTCGGAGGGCGACATCTGCTGTTTGGAGAATATTTGCGGAGCTGGACAAACCTAAACGTAAACTATCGCAGATAAACTTAACATCGATGCAGGTAAGCTTGTTTTAGCTCTGTTTTAAAACTAGGAATTATTTTCAATGAATAATAAAACAATTATTGAATTCGGCTTTCGTATCATTCATTAATTGTTTATTGATTTAAAAAGTTAAAATTAATTTTCATTGTTGTAAGAAGTTTCAGGAACATTCTGGTCTATATCTTCATTTCTACAGCGCGGCACTTTGACGTATACAAAACAAATAAAACAGGAAAGTATGTTTACTCGTATTTGTGAAAGTGTGATAAATGTACCCGTTGAAACATTTAAGGCAACATCCATGCTGTGTGAATAACAGTTCTCCAGTTTACGTTAATGTCGTGGCTTACCGTTGTTTTTTCTTTTTTTTTTTAATTTTTTTAAATGAACACTAGTGAGCAGCACAAAGCAACGCGAGAATCTTGTTAACTTGATTAATTGTTTAATCATTAATTTCAGTTGGAACTCACGGATTTAAAGTTAAATCCGCGAGTCCAAAATTAAACTTTGCGAATTTTGTAACGCAGGATTATAGTCATATCCTACTTGTATATTTTGTGGGTGTTTTTTGCTGTTCACACCCGTACAAGAACGTGATTTTGTCTTAATCATTACGCGTAAAGTTAGTTCCTTATAGCTCCCTCTTGTATACTCAGTGATGAAGTCTGTGTAATCAGAAGAAACCGATAGAAACTAGGAGAAATACGTCAAGTTAAAAAGATACACCTTTTGCTTCGTGCTGCTCACTAGTGTTCATTAAAAAAATTTAAAGAAAGTTAAAAACATTTTCTCCCTCTACTATAGCCTACAAAAACTAGTAAAATCATCAGATTCAAGATTTATTAAGTCTTCAGACGAGACCTTGGAAATTTATTTTTATGGCCATAATTTTTTACGGTTAACATTTTTTAGGGCTAACGGTTAATTTTATTCAATTTTCACGCCTAACGGCTAACAGTTAACCCCATTGAGACCCTCTGTTTGCTTATCGGTATTCAGTTTTGTGGCCTGTTAATAGAGAGATTAAGATTCACGTTTACACCAAACGGCAAACGTCAGATTCAAGTTGAGAATTTCTCAGAATAGAAAATAAGCAGATAAAAACTGTCCAGAACAATTCTTATGACTGCATAAACTGGCGTGAAACTACTTATTTTTTAGTTGAAGAAATAAACAGTTAACGACAATAGACCTTGTCACGGTTTTCGACGCCATCTTGAAGAGTAGGCAAACGCGTGAGAAATTACAGTGTTTGTATGAGAATCTAATGTCGAATAATTTCCGTAAAACGGCTGTTCTGAACAAAATATTAATTGTAAACTAAAGCTAAAAAGCAAAGGATTGTCCAAAAAAATTTAGGGGCGTACCTGTGCTTAAATTTCTCCAGAGGCTTTCTTTAGATTTTCCATATATTTGTCTGTAATTTTCCCGGGACTTTCTTACAGACAAATGTATAGAAAATTTTAAAAAGTGGTTCTAGGTCTTCTAGTGCATGTAACGCCCTCAATTTTTTTCAAGAGAATCCTTAGGAGTAAAGCTTTAGTTTACAAATCATGTTTTTTTCAGAACAGCCGTTCTACGGAAATTATTCGACATTAGATTCTCATACAATCACTGTAATTTCTCACGCGTTTGCCTACTCGTCAAGATAGCGTCGAAAACCGTGACAAGGTCTATTAAGGGAAGAACTTGATCACGTTGTACAAATCACGTTTGCTGTTTGGCGTTAACTTGAATCTTAATCTCTTTAATCTCTCTATGTTTTCCGTCTAAAAGGTCAGAGCTTGCAGAATGAATAGTTTACAATACGTCGAATTGAAGAACAAACAATAGGTCTTATTCTCTCAATCTGCTTACTGTAGATATAAAAAGCACGTGATAGCAAGAATTCTTTTCTTCTTGATCCTCCATAAGATTTTAATTTTGTGGTCACAAATAGTCTCTTAGAAATTTGTAAAGATTTATACGATATGACAATCCACTTGGAAAATCCTGGTTTTATTTTTTAAAAATCAGTTGGCAAGTTCATGATTATATAAGTGTTAATTATTTGGTTAATATCTTAAGTATCTGTGAGAGACATTTTCTGCTCCCGTCTTATCGAACCGGAAATTGTAGAAAATCTAAAAGCCTGACAAGGAAGCATAAAAATGAGACCTTTGCATAAGGACGTGGGGTCTTAGATGTCTGTTGTTTTGTTTTTCGAAGAGCACGATTCTCTGCTCCCATTACCAGTCCGGAATATCCCTAAATTTAAGGACAGGGCCAACTGGTCACGCGACACTTTTCAACCAATGAGAAGGCGTGCTTGTGTTTATCAACAAACAAATCAAAACATTGCCCCAGTGATCAAAAATTTTCAAAACAACGGACGGAGTCGGACAGAATCAGTCATCGTTTCGAGGTTCCCAGGCATATTTTTAAGACTTTTCATGAGGCATACAAATTTTTTTTAAGTGGACAGCGTATCGGAAGCCATATTGGAAGTGTCTCGTGAAATATTCAGCACATTTTGTGGCTTATTCTTCTTTTATCTTTTAAACAACGCGATGTATAGGAGAGATTTTGGTCGGCTTTCAAGGTAGGTGAACAAGTATCTATTATTTTTTCGATTCACAGATTTTTACGAAGTTCTAGATATTTTTCCTCGATTGTCATATCGATTAACTTTTATCATGTTGAATGTGGGGATGGTAGACAACCTAGAATTTTGGAAGACAATTTTTGAATTCCGAGGTCCAAAACACATACTTTTTCCACTCCCGGGTTTCTCACAAAAGCCGTGTTATTACTTTTTTTCGCATTAGTACGAGCCTTTGCCTTTTTTCTTTTCAAGGCCAAAACAACTTATTAGTCTTATGGATATTCACGTCCAACATCTCGCCTCACTTTGCCGAATTTGCGGGGATGAAATTGAACATCATAAGCGCGAGGTAGATACTAACCGCTTTGTTTCTGAAATTCACTAATCTGGAAAGATTTAATGTTGTTGGATTCTCCAAATGTTCATCCGCCGTTAAAAAACAATCAAGGAAACAAGGCAATTCTCAATTGTAAATGCATGCTGTATTTCGCTACTCATTGAAAATGCACTGATTATCTGGGATAAAATTAAAACATTGCAGGTAATACAGCAAGCAAAGAAAGCACCAGATGCGTGAAGTCAACACGAAACAACTACACAAAAAAACAAACAAGAAAAATTAATAAATTTGAACTACTTTCTATTCTTGTTATGATGACTGGTTCTTTGATTCTTGTCCTGTAGAAGTTAATAGGTAGTACCAATGCTGTTTTGTAAGATCTCAACAAATTTCACACTCTCTCAAAGGCTATTTTTCACGGGACGAGTTTGCTTCTATCAAAAATCTTGCAAGCGATGCCAGTGAAGCCACGACCTCTGCGATCGGTCCGGAATCAGTTCGAACACCCCAATGATTCCTTGCAATGTTTAATGCTCTTATTCTCTTACATGACATGTTTTCTTTGAAATATTAAATGTGAAACCTAGACGAGTACTGTAAGCTCATCTTTAATTCTGTCCGACTCCGTCCGTTGTTTTGAAACTTTTTGATGACTGGGGCGATGTTTTGATTTGTTTGTTGATAAACACAAGCGCCCCATCTCATTGGTTAAAAAGTGGCGCGTGACCAGTTGGCCCTGTCCTTAAATTTAGGGATATTCCGGACTGATTACTGTCAAGAATATCATCAAAGCCCCAAATCAAATCGTGGAAATGGGACAAATGTCTAAAACACAGAAAATAAATAGCCAGTCATGTTCAAGAACTGCCGAAGAGATTTCGTTTAACTGATGGTCACAGAAAAACTCAAAAGGTGCATCAGTGTTGCATGCATAAATGTAACCAAACTTTCCCCCGGAAGTGAAAATGATTGAAAAGGGGTCTCTGGCAGACCATCTCATTACAACTTACTGAGCTGAAGCTGAAGTGATATGTTTTACATGCAATTGTAGATCTACGTAGTTAAGATCAGGTTTCAAAAGGAGGAAACTTTTATTAAGTCTATTTTTGATAGGAAAACCGTTATCTTTCTACGGATTTCCCAACCCCAAATGGTAAAAGGTCTAAAATGAAAAGGAAGCTTAGAATTACCTTTGTTCAAGAAAGGAGAATCCGTTGCCGTCTTAGTTGTCTCTTGGTTTTTCTCCAATGAGAAGATTCTGTCCCTCTGAGCTCTCAATTCCAGTTCCAACCTTACAAAGCCAGCAGTGAAGAAAAGTACACTGATAAACGTTACACAGCAACAACCCACATGAAGGCGGGAAGATCCGCTCCCTGAACTCGTCATTATGCGCAAAGCAAAGTCATGTAACAACTGAAGATGTCTGTCTCCAGAATTGAATTTATGTACTCCAAGACGAAGCTTCAGCTAAGCGGGAACTCATTACTAGGTAATCCCGTTTAGACAGATACGTGTTTTTCACGACTTACTGAGACCAATTTGTTCAGCTATACCGGATGAATATAACTTAATAACATCCTGGTATGAAATGTCACCCCTCCCCCTTCCTTCATTTCTCTCTGTCACTCTCTCTCTCTCTCTCTTGGTTATGGGTCAAATCGTTTGAAATTAGCGAATTTAGAAGACTACGATCTAGGACAATCTTGGAACAGTAATTTGATTCCCCCATTTCCCTTGTTACAAAAATTAAAATCATTCATTACAAGCTAGGAGATTGCAAGTCTCTGGCAACACTAGCTGTCACGGGGCGAGGTGATCTCATTTTGATTGTGGTTTACAAACTTGTAAGAAACTAATAACATTTACTTCACAAATTATTTACGTTTGCAAGTAAACTCTGCTCTCTTTTAAGGGACACCGCTATAAGACGGACACCTCGCTAAAACGGCCACCTAGAGTTGGTCCCTGCCTTTCTTTTACTCCTTTTAGTTGACTCTCTATAAGACGGACATCTCTTTAAGACAGATACATTTTGAGGGTCCCAGAGGTGTCCGTCTTAGAGAAGGTCGACTGTAGAAGACACAGGAATTTGGTTTCAGATGGTTTTGACACAGCTTCAGCTTCACGGAAAGTCATGACGCATGTCGCTTCATTCCATGTTTTTGTCAGTTTAAGCTACAACGGAATGTAATCATTTCGTCATAGGTCAATGATTGGCAGGACCTGATTGATGTAAGGACCAGTCAACTAGATAACGTAGGGTAAGGGGCTCTTAATACAAGCAGTTGTTAGGGCACCAAGTAAGGGATACACGACAGGGAACTTATAATTAATAAGGTTCAGTGCTTGCAAGGAAGCCTGTGATTTGAAGACAATCGTCATATAAGATGGCAGAAATCCTTTCGTCAGAAAATGGTGCCGGAGTGGTGAGCCGAACTTTAAATGGAGTGAAAAAGAGCTGTGAAACTGAAACATTATTTAATAATATTCATTGATAATATCGCGTAAAATTTTAGCACTGAGCCACTGTCAGAACGTAACAAGAACAGGAAGATAATTATCATGTGTCCTCTCGAGCTGGAAGGTGGTGACCTTCCGAAAGGAGCGGTTTTATTCGTTCTACTATCTCTTATAAAAAGAAGGTACTTTTCATCGTTTGAGGTCAAGCAACTTCTCGAACCGTGATTTCCTACAGCGGGGTAATTTGAGAGAATTCTAAGTACATGGCTGAATGGTTGAAAACGACTGCATCGACCTACACATTAACAGAAATGATGTTAGCTTTGTTTTATGTTGTTTGTTGATGGTGATTCAATTATTGACTAACTAAACTCCACAGACCCCATTACCCGGCATTGCAATCTACAAATTATGGAAAGCAGAATGAAATGTTTCTTGGCGAGAATTCGTTCTTACAATTACGCAGTCCAGAGCTATAAGCAGTTCTTTGTAGTTTCTGATAAAACCGTGCTAAAATGGAATATTCGCACGGGGCACCTAACGTCAATTTTCGGAAAATAGGGACTTTAAGATATAACGACGAGGACGGCAACGAGAACGTCAAAAAACAATTATTATAGGTTTTGTAAGCAAAACAACAACTTTGCACGTGCATCACTCTTTTTTGTACATTTCTTTGCCCGTTTTTGCACGACTACGACGTGAAAATGCCTAATTTCGCGTTTCATGTAGGCCGACATAAACAAGCAACGACGAAATTTTATTTCTCTTTTTGAACTTGGATATGGTCCCTAGGAATTCAATTCCAGGAGAGTTCGCCTACATTTGACAAAGTAAGTGGGTAGGAATAACTGCGATAAAGACTGAAAGAACGCAAATTCACTTTTTAAGCGACGTTCTCGTTGCCGTCGCGTCGTCGGATCTTAAAGTCCCTGGTATCTGTTCGGAAGACGACTTGAGATCTAGAATTTTCGGAACAATTGTTGTAAAATTTCTTGCTTGCTTTTATCTCCTCGGATTTTCGAACATCTAAAAAGTGGTATAATTGTCCATTTTTAACGAATTTTTACCCTAAAAAGGTCGCCTAGAATTTTCGGGAGCCTGTTCTCTTGACATTATTCATAGAATTACTGACTTAATTATTCGTCCGTCAAAGCGTTTGCGAGGGCTTGAATGTGCTCAATGGCTTTTTGTTGGTCTCCACTGTTTATGCTTTGCGTAACTTAAGATAGTAGAGAAATGAAAGAAGCGGCCGTGAACCGGTTCTAGACGGAACTACCTCAAAAAGCATGAAAACAACCAATACTATACACGTATTACACGTAATACATATGAGCATAAGAAGATGAGACAATGTGGCTAATTCTCACCCCTTGTCCTAAAAAGAAAAACTACTGATCATCACTTAAACTGTGTCTCCGTACATTGCTTTTATGTCATATATATTGGCAGGTAGGGCCTATAAACAACACGAAGTTTACAAGCTTCACATACTTTACATAACAATTATTCACTGAAGTAGAGGTGGCTAGTGGTGGAGGGTTAGGGTTAGGGTATCAAAAAATCATTGCGACGGAGTTAAGTGCAACTGATTGAAACTGCATGCTTCTCTATCGAACTGTCTGCATTAATCCTTAGTTACTGGCTTTGTGCCGCCATAACTAACTTTTCTGTCCCGTTCCTCAGATGCCCTTGTCGAAGTCATAAACCTTTTGTCCAAAGAATTGCCCAAATGAGCTCTTTTTCAGGTGCCTCCACCGCTCTCTTGCCCATAGTTCTTTTCTTAAATTGGAAAATAGTTTCCAGACTGTCACACTCGGCTTTCACTCTTGCTGCCACCAGCAAACCCTCTTAGCATCAGATATAATTAATCGATAACATCAATAAAATCGATGAGTAATTGATAGGTAGTCGATAGATGATCAGTTGATTATTAGTCACTGATTATTACCGAGTGGAATGATAGGGCTTGGCACTCCCCCAATAGGACCTCGTAATCGCGCAACGCGTTAGATCCCGCAAGAGCTTATCTTTGTTTTTGCTGTGTTTAAAAAAAAAACGGCCTATATTCAAGAAGTAACAAAAGTTAGTGTTGAATGGTTCATATCCTCTTCTAATCATGCATGTCAGCCTTAGCCTGCGTGCAGACGATAACCAAACTCTGATTAGTACCGTCTGCGAAGCAGCGCAGAGATCCTTGTTCTGAACCCCCAACGGACTCAACGAATTACCGGAAGTGCGTTTCGAATTTCCCTTCAACCTGATTGGCGATCACGACAAACAAAACAAAGGCCTTTTTTAACTGGCCAATCGTGGCGCGTACTCAAATCTGGGTACACAGCTGGAAGTCCAGAACAAGGATTTCGGCGCTGTTTCGCAGACGGAGTTAACCAGAGTTTAATTTCGTCTGCGCGCAGGCTATGTCAGCCTCAACAATGAAAAAAACATTCATAAAGTACGCCGTACCGCATGCTGGGAGAATGCGGCACTAATTCTTTATTCAATGGCGGTGCTTATTAATATTTTTCTGCTTTTATGTAGTTCCGTACGTCCTGAAATTTGTAATAATTTTGCTTTTACAGAAGTACGCACCCACCTACATCTACCGATCTTAATTTCCTGTTCTGTTGAGTCCAATTTCGGCGACGTTTCTTGGAAGATCGGGTGCTCAAAAGAGAGAAAAACAACTTGCGGGATCATCAAGTCATTTCCGTGGTCTTTGCTCTCATAGACCATAGCTGTCGACCAATAAACTCGCCACTAATCTCTCAATGATATTGTGATAATATGGTGGAACCAGCGAAAGCGAACTGTTATTCGATTATTTTGTGAGTCAATATTAATTAGAATTTTTAATACTCAGAAGTACCAAATCTCAGTATCCACTGCAAATTTGTAATTAAGTATGTGGTAAATAAGTGGGGCGTGATCAATACCTTGTAAAGAGATCATTGGGCTTTCGTTTTAAACAATAAATTACTTTGACTGAAATTGTCTTGTTTAACTGATTGACAACCACTTACATAGATTCCAGAGTTAATTGAGTCAAGTTGTGCCCTCGTGTTGTTCGCCACCTTGGTTGATGCTTCAAAGAGGAGTCGTTGACAGAAGAGGAACTTAAGATTCAACATGTCGAATTTGCAGCATTTGGCTGTATTCTTGTTTCTGATCTTTTTGCCAGTTGGCAGGAGTATTTTATTACTTGATTCTGCACCTGAGGCCTCGGTGCATTACATTTAGTTTCAATCCAGTTTCGTTTCTATGCTGTCGTGGAGGAGCTCGTTGTATTGAACAACTAGAAATTTGGAATTTAACATACAACGATAGATGAATTACTTTAAAATACTTTTACCAACTGAATTTTAATTGCTTATAATAGCATCACAAAATCGCTCTGACTCTGTTTACGTGCTAGTGCCATTAAATTTAGAGCTCGCTTGTCCTCATTAACAGCAGTACCGTAAGACCTTATATTTAAACTAGACTTTTGACTGCAATGAAATAATTAAACCTGGTCTACTAGATACCATAAGTAATACCCTTTCCTTTAGCTTCTGTCCAATTTACGGCCTTAGAAAGAAAGCTACTTGTTGATGTCGTTTGCACAGAGTAATTCCATTGCTTTGTTTGCTGTGTTAATTGGTTTCATTTATTTTGATAATGATATTTGATGTGATTAATGTTGGATTACCTTTTTCGATTTCACTGGGCTACTGTAGATGTCTCTGCTGCTTTTCTAGTGCACGTATGTTCTGAAGACTACTCGCATTTATCTATGATTAAACTTGAGTTAGTTCTCCAGGAAGTAATAAATGTTGACGCACTCGCACATGACCAGTTTCTATTGAAATGTTCGACTCGGCATTCTTAAAGGGGTCAGTTTCTAAGGAAACTGTGGTGCTACATTCTTTTGTTATTTATAGTGAGTTAAATTTAAATCTTTTTATTTCCGGTTTAAAACTGATTATCAGGCTTACTATAGTTATTTTCTCTCCACCCCCGAGAGCTAAGTCCTCGTTATTATGGTGAAGAAAATAGTCACTACTTTCTTTGTCTCCGGGTAGATTTTTTAATGAGACGAAGATGACTCGAAGCACACTTTACTTTCGGATACCAATAATTATAGCTGTATCTTTCATAATTTATAACTGAACTGCTACTGCTAGACTAATTGGGAGCCTGCTCTTCTTTCTCGTTACAGTGTTTTGCGGTGAATGTTACGAATGTCTTAGCACCGTCTTTCTTGTAAAGATTGTGAAGAAAACCGGAGGAGAGTAAATTGTAGGTCGACCTCAACGAAGGGTGTCAAGATAAGGGTTTAAACAACAACTGATCGTATGGTATACGATAAAGGATCGGCGTTAAGACATGTTTAACACGAGATGGTCGAACACGCTATTTCCAGTCCATTTACTGCAAAGTATCTTCTCAAAATGCATTGGCCTTTTTCGCCTCGCTCGTATTTTAAAAGTAGGATGACTCTTACAGTGGTTGCTGGTGAGTGATTTTCTGAATGTACTTTCCAAACCATCACACTCGGCTTTCACTCTCGCTATCATTAGCAAACCCTTTTAGCATCAGACATAATTAATCGATAACATCAATGAAATCAATGAGTAACTGATAGGTAATCGATAGATGATCAGTTAATTAGTCATTGACTATTGCAGAGTTCAACGATAGGGCTTGGCACTCCCTACCCTGCGAGCAGAGGCTACATTTTCGCGGTATGAGCTGGCGTGCGAAAAGTAGCTACTTTTCGCACGCCAGCTCAACAGCGAGAATGTAGCCTCTGCTTGCAGGGTAGGCAGTCCCCTACTGAATAGGATTTCAGGATCGCGCAACGCCTTAGATCCTCGAAGGCCAAGAAGTATCTTTGTTTTTGCTTTGTTTAGAAAAACAAACAGACTATATCAAAGATGTAACAAAAGTAAGCTTTAATAGTCCACGTCCCCTTCTAATCATCCATATCAGCATCAACAATGTAAAAAAAATTCAAAAAGAAATCGACGACTACATTAATGCTGGGAGAATGCGGCGCTTATTCTGTTGCGGTCCATGTTAACAAGTATTTTTCTCCAAAATGACGCCCGTGTATGAGTTAAGCGAACCTTGGAGTAAATACGGTATTTGTCTTTGTGCTCATGCACTTGCCTTTACAGATGAATGCACCCACCTACATCCACTGATATAAATTTCCATTTCTGTTGAGTCCAATTTTGGCGAACGGTTAATTCTTGCGGTGAAATCGCTCGCGGAAAAGGGAAAAACAACTTGCGGGATCATTAAGTCACTTTCCGTGGTTTATGCTCTTACAAACCATAGCTCTCGACCAATAAGCTCGTGCGACATCACTCATGCAGTGACATTTGTAACAATTTGTAACCAACGGACGCAAACTGCTATTCAATTATTTTCTGATTCAATATTGATAAGAAATAGTCTCAATATCTACTTCAAATTTGTAATTAAAAATATGTGGTAAAAGGAGGGGCGTGATCAATACCTTGTTAGGAGTCAAGCTTCACGTGACAAATGTTAGCAGTGGGAGTTGGCCTGCGCTTTAACCAGTAACGTTCAAGATAACTTTGACTGAAATTGTCTTGTTTAATTGACAACTTAATTACTAAGATTATCAAGAGTTACTTCAGTCATCATTTAACTTGTGCCCTCCTGTTGTACGTTTGCACCTTGGTTATTGCTTCAAAGAGGAGTTGACGAACGAGGAACTAGAGATCCAGCATGTCAAATTTGCAGCATTTGGCTTTATTCATGTTCCTGATCTTCTTGCCAGCGGGTAGGAGTCTATTTAATAAACTTGATTCTGTAGGCCTCGGTGCCTTACGCAGAGCAGTCTCAATCCGACATCAACTAATACTCTTTTAATTAGCTTCTGTGAAAATAATCTTAAAAAGAAAGCTACTTTTTTATGTCATTTTTTATAGAGTAATTCCCGGTATGCACAAGGATTTCAGAGAAACATCGTTGCATACAATTTGTCCCCCTTTTGAAAGAGGCGTGCTCTCGATTCGCTGTGTCAGTTGATTTCATTTATTTTAATAACGATATTTCAACTGATGAATGTTGGAATATCTTTTTTTTCAATTTTAATGGGCAACTGAAGGTTTTGGGCCCTGCTTATACAGCGTACGTATGTTCTGAAGACTACTTGCATTTATCAATTACACTTGAGTTAATTTTCTAGGAAGTGAATGTTAACGCACTTGAATATGACCAGGCCAAGTTATACGACCTGCCTTGACATGGATAACTTTATCTCCTGGATAGTGGCTTGATAGGGCTATCAAAGCATCGAACAACCGAGATCGGTGACGCGAAAAGGATAAATTTTATCCACAAGATAGTGACTTTAAACAATCGTGTCAGTTTATTGAAATACTCGACTCGGCAATTATGTCTTGTTTAAAGCTAAATATCTTATAGTTACTATAGGTATTTTCTGTCCACAATTAGTTCTCGATATTTTGATAAGCAAAGTTGTCGCTTTTTTTAAATTAAACGTTGTCTCTGGGCAGATTTCAAAAGGCTAGAGCTGATAAAGTTAAGACTCAAAGCTCATTTTCGGACAAAATTGATAAGTCTTTTTTACAGTTTATTGCTGAACTGCTTCTGCTAGCCTAATTGGGAACCTGCTCTTCTTTCTCGCTATAGTGATTACCCGTCAATGTTACCGATGTCGTAGCATTCACTCTTTTAAAGATTGTGACGCCAACCAAAAGAAAGAATATTGTAGGTCAACCTCAACGTGTTTCAAAATGAGGTTTTCTACAACAACCGGCGGTGAAGCATACCTCAAAGGATGCGCTCCGAGTCCCTGCAGGGGAACAGGAGACTGCAGCAAATCCAACATCAAGTGTGAACTGAGTTGCTGTTCTTCTGATTACTGCAATGGAGCCTCTGGTCCTGTGGTGAATGCTGTGATTCTTTTGATTGCCTCCTTTACTTCCAGCTTCAGGTACTTGTTCTGAGAAAGTGAGCGGGACGCACGAGCCAAACCGTCTGAAGATGGCAGAACTGATCATATAGGAATCCATTACATTGTAATATATTAGGTTCCAGACCTCTTATATTTTAGGGCAGGTCTTGCACATGCGCAGTTGCATTAAAAGAATGACTAGCACATGGTTCGTCAGTTGTTCTGATGTTTAAGTAAGACCTGAATATTACACATTAACTTTTCCTGAGCGTAGCGTAAGTTCCGATGGCCAGTTGCTTGTTAAAGCATTTAACCAGAAAGTTAACGTTATTCGACGTTTCGACAATGCGGCTGCTAGCAACATTATTCTAACATCATTATCAAGAAAACGTCAATTAAAGTTATGTAAGTTAAAGAACTTTACAATTGGCAGATACATAATCTGTAGATTGTAATTGCTGAGTACATCCATTAAAATTTCAAAAGTCGTCGATACTTTTGTCGATACTTCTTCTATAATAAATAAAGCAACAAGTGGGTTGAAGTTTTCAACTTTTACCTTACTTATGCAAGTAGTGTAAGTTTGAAATGGGGTGAAGACCTAGTCGACTCACTTGCTAATGTTTCACCCGTAATCACAATTTTGCTCTGAACGAAGACTGCCCTTTCTTGTATAATAACGGCTTCTCAAATATTTCTTTAACCAGTGGCTGGTTTGTAAACAAATGCAGGGGCTTAGTTAGGTAAGTACAAATGGACGATTTTTAGAGCTGAACGCCATACACCTTTAAGGGGTATGCTGCCAAATAAAAAAATTGAAAACGAGATGCTCCTAAACGCTATTTCCGACCCTCTACTGTTAAGTATGTTCCTCTTAAAGTGGGATTTTTTGACTTGTAAGAATTACAGTGAGACTACTATAACCGGGGCCATCTAGACAAAATTGACCAATCAGATTGCAGGAGAATAACAATACATTCCGAGAAAGTTAGTTCTCAATCATAATTACCACGAAACAAAATAAACAACATGATGGATCGAAATCAACCAATTACAACCTACAGACGTGAACTTTTAAACCTGCTGAAGAAAGCACGTGTTTCCCAAGAGGTCCTTTAGGGTGAGTGATGCAGGCGAAAAACGTAAATGACTCCTGGGTTCAAACCTTTCACAGTTATATTCTTGACTTGCTGTCAGCTTGTGTCAAAGAAATATGTCTCTGGGTGTTGTATTCAAAGTTTCCAATGGCAAAAACATTTTCTGGTGACTGCTTTCCTTAAAAACGTTTGTTATCGATATTAAATTTTAAGTGCTTCGAGTAACTTACTGTTGTTTTTTACGAGCTGCTGATTGGCCCACAACCAACTTTCTTGGAATTTGTTATTTCCTTTAACGATCAGTCAACTTTGTCTACTGAAGTGGCCCCAGTTATAGTAGTCGCACTGTAAAAGTAGGATGACGCTCACAGTGGTCACTGGTGAATGATGCAACTTAGTCAACCCTTTAACTTTGCGTAAACCCCTCTTCTTCTGAATTTTTTTTCTGCACTTGCATCAACATCAATTGTATGTACACTGGCCGGAAATCTTGTCACTGTAAAAAATAGCATTTGCGTGGGGAAAATCCTGTTTTTTCTATTTGAAATATTAATTTAAACAAATAAGAGAAGTTTCATGACTTGAGACGAGTGTGCTGTCCTCAATAATCGCCACTTAGTTAACTAATGTTTGTTTCTTTTCCTTCCGAATGATATCTTTAATTTTTTGGCCGTTTTGGGGGTACGCACGTGTGTACTATCAACTTTCAGTTGGCCCCTGAAATGCCATTTGCTTACTCATCAGAATTTGTTTTTAGGGCATGATGGTTGATATTGTGTTTCAAAAGGCTAGGATCGGAGTGCGTTTATTTTCTTTACTCTTTTGTTGAAGGGCTTGTTTTCTTTCTTTCTTTCCTTCTTTCTTCAAAATCACTTTTGAAAGGCTTGTTGTCAGTTAGATTTTATGGAAAACCTCTATCAGCTGGTATTCTCTTCAAACAGTATTTTTTATGAGTTTTAATTTCCTCAAAAATATAAAGTATCTCCTTATACAAACCCCTTTTTTTCACCTAATGGGCCGTGAAGAAAATTGCGTTTATTGCATGGAATGTTTCAGTACATGTGAGTTACAATAATTATAAAGAAACCCTTTAGACTTCTTTGTTATATGTTTTTGTTAGCTTTTTTGGACCTGACCGTGCACAACGTTCAATTGCATTCCTATCATTTTGAATTTACTGACCAATAGAAACCTTGCATTAATTTATTCAGTCACAATCTGTGAACGAAAAACAAAGGATTGTGCACGGTCAACATACACTGCGGCACCGTTGTTTTCAACTTTGATGTTTGCCGGCTTTCATCGCCAGTCTCCTCTGCTAACTATGAACGGATGAAACGCAAAAGGGAGACGAACAGGCACGTCATCTCATTTTACTTTGCCTCTCTAACGACTCTAACGGCTCTATCATTACGCCTGAGATGGCAGGTTTACTCAGTGACATTTACATTCGTGTCCCTGAGAAAAACAGGAAGCTAATCCACACATTCCATGCGGTTCCTCGCATCATATTGGCGCATATATAACAATTACATTAAAATTTCAAAATTTGTTTATACTTTTTGTTGCCGCTTTTTACCCGGATAATTCAGTCTTTTGTGAAAAGATGCGTATGAGCCTGGGTACAATGGAATGAATATGAAACAAATCGGCGTCAGTTTTCCTAAAACACGGGAAACAATTTTTTGTCACTAACATGATTTGTAACACAAGAAGGCCTCTTTAACGGCTTTAACGACCGCCAAACCGAGACAGTTTCACTGATGCGTAAATCTGTTCCTCTGAGAAAAGCAGGAAGTTATTGATCGTTATTTTACCAAACATTCCGTGAGGTTTTACGCATCGAATTGGCGCTTTTCGATCGCGTTCACTGGGACTCTTATGAGTATATTACCTATTCTATAGAGTACCAAGGACTCACTTTACTAAGCTTTTAACTTACTTAGAACTACGTAGGCCTTGGGAAGTAGTAGGACATGTACCAATATCAATGAGTAGAGGCTGACTATTCATCAATTAAAGCACGAATGTACGCAGAAAGCGGCACAATAATTGAGAAACGGACTATTCTCGGATCATCGTGCTGTAGACTGACTAAAATAGCATTTTTTTATGGTTGAAAGGTTGATCTATCATTTTAGCCAAAAGTTAAACGAAACCCGTTAGACTAAATTAATATTGTAGACGTTTAACCTTGAAGATTGGGCTTCCTGCGTTATCTCCAGTATTAGAAACGCCCGTTCAAAGGGAATAATAAGGCTTTCATAATGGATTTCAGTTGTTCAAAATGGCGACCACAAGTCAAAGTTCTTGGTCTCCTCATTAATACGAAAAGCGAAACAAAGACAGAAATACTTAGGGGAAAAAGTGAAGCTTGGCTCTGTATTGGGCCCCCTCATGCATCGCAAGGAAGCCACCAAAAGAAGATCAATCTAGGCGGAGTTGGAGGAGGAGAAATTGTCGATACGTGCTCGATTACAAGGAAGGGGAGAGGCTTTGGTAACTGAGGACTTCCTCCGCCTCCTCTGATCCTGAAACGAATTTTTACAAACATTTAACTAAACTTGTACAGCCTGGAAAACACAAAAGACAACTACCCTCTACTGAATATCCATGCGTTTCCTTGTTAACACAAAGGCACCAAAACGTTTGCGTCTATACCAGCATTTTCGCATTGTTTTCCACCGCCCACACTAGCTAAGCCATTGCATCTCTTGCGGTGCAATTATAAGCTTGTAAACAAGACAAGATCGACAGTCAGAGTTAAAAGAGACTTAATAGCAGAGCCGCCACTCCAATGCTATAAAAATTGGAAACCTATCGATGTGACAAAATTTGGTTATGACATCAGCGTACGCCCACCTGTCCGTCCGTACAGTCCACACGATTCCGGATTCATAGCGTGTTCAAAAATTTCCGCTCTGGAGAACGGATTCAAAAAGTTGCGGGTACGCATGCCGGATTCACCGGATACGTGTGGACGGTAGCCGAATCCGGAAAGAAAAAGTTGCGGATTCAAAAATATCCGGATACGTGTGGACAGGGCATGAGTATTTTGTAAGAGCATGCAAACTTAATCTAAATTCGCTTAAACGTTTAATGATACATGGTGACTTTTAATCCAATTAATGTTTTACTCAGCTATCAGACGGGCCATTGAATCAACTTAAAGATATTTGATAATAACTCTAATATCTTTCCATCGTATAACATTCAGTAAAAGCGTTTGTATTAGCACGCGCCACTTTTGAACTATTTACTGTTCGTCAATGGAACCATATTCTTTTCCAATGGTTTTCGTTGCCTAGGGAAAAGCTGTCAAGATGTTTAACGTACATTAAATGAAACTGTAAATTTACAAAAGCGTTTGCATCGTTTTTGTTGGACTTTTATATGCTAGCTGATCTTCAGCATCCCAGCTACCGTCCTCTAGATAGTACAGGAGTTTTTTCAATACTACGATCGCCGATTTTATTTCTATCTTTGCGATTGCGGCGATTTCATGAAAACATGGCTTGAGGTAAAATTCAAGTCTATCATGGAACACTTTGCCTCACGATGCATTTTTGTTGTATAGTAATGTCAAGCATGGATTTGGATAAAAACTAAACAAACCAAATTCTTCCCCCCACAGCACCTCCCCCCTCAAAAAAAAAAACGTAGGCGAATTTTTTTTTCGCTATAAAAGACTACGTTTTTTTTTTTTGCAGTAATCTTAGCAATCGTCGTGAAGGTAGCGATCCTAAAAGAAAGCGCGTTTATTAAACTTATTAGTGTTCTTGTTACATTCCGTGTTGTTAGCAAACCGAAATTTCGCTACTGTAGATATCCGCGAAAAATCTGCTCACTCGACGAAAGTCGGGGCGTTACAGCAAAATTTCGATGTGAACTTTCGCAAGACTGAAAGGACGAAATTCGACGCGGAACTTCACTCTCATATTTTTTTGCACATTACTTCTCTTTTTGTCTAAAAAGTTTCGGAATCCTAACGGTTAACCCTATTCTTACCGGAGGGCTTTTTGGAGTTACCCCTCGTTAAAAAGGTTGAATGGCTTCATAACCGTTCAAGCTATGACCGCCAAACTTTTCCCTAAAAATTATCTGGGATTATTTTAAAGTCGTCGTGACGTTACCATGGCAACCAAGTTTTGACAGCCATGTATTTCAAAATTTGCTTTTTTCCTAGAAAAAAGGATTTATTTGTATTTGTACTAATTGAATTTTGGCATTACACTTAATTTAGCAAAATTACATTAAATGTTTACAGGTTTTAAGTAAATATTGAATACATTTTATATATTCAAAATGGCAGATCCAAGATGTCGGATGGTTCCAGACCCTTCTTTTACAATAAATGACGTCATCATGACATCACTGATATGGTTCAAGATTATTAATGTGTTTACCATCTTCTTGATTTTGTCAGACACCTTACTATTTCGTCAAATTGCGTCATTAAATCTACACGTTATGCCTGCGGGAGTGGATGTTGAAAATAATGAGTACATTATTCTGAGTAATTTTGGTGGCCGTTTCATGAGTAAGTTATTGATGGTGGTTCCAGAAGCCTCCACGGGTTTTTAGCAAAAAAAAAAAAGGCCAGTCTGAAAATTGCTTTTATTCAAATCCACTGGACTTCTTCTACCTGAAATTATCATGCTTTATCTAGCATTTCGAAACTATATTTATATGCTCTGAAAATGATCCATTTCCACTTCAATTAAAATCTTCTGCCGCAGGACATTTCTGCGACAAAAACTCTAGCTAAGGGCAAGAGCCTACTAAGGGTTAATCAAGAGTTGCGTTCTCTCTAGAACTGGTACAAAAATTATGGAATGAGAATCCCCCACTGAGCGAAGAACACGCTCTACGCTTGAATTGAAAATCTTCCTGCAGCAAATTCCAAAGATTGATTGTCCCCTATCCACTTCCCTTTTTCCCTTTTTCCTTTTTCCTCATTTTGTCTTTTCGTTTTGCTTGTTCATTTTGATTGTTACTGAAGCGGTTTAACCTTAATTTTTTTAAATTTAGTTAATGTGTAAACCCGCACCCCCCAGACTAGCTCTTGAGCTTTTAGCCGGAATTTCCAAGTTGCTTAAATTGTTAAATGAAGTTGCTGTTGCTGTTATACTACCTGACTTCGTGAAAGGGCCTGATTCTGTAACTTTTAGTATCACAACAAATACTCTCATGATCACTAGGGTCTGTACCTTGTACAAAATGTAGGATGACTGCGGTCATTTCAAGCATCTAATTGGAAAATAACAATCATGTTTTTTTTGTTCATCTTACCAGGTTTGTTTTGTAAATCTAAGAACTTATGTGTAGCGTTTCTTAAGTCATCCTTAAATCATTTAGTTCTAGGTTTTAGTTTCATTTCGCTCTCCAAAAGGTTACTCCAATACCAAAGATAATAATTGTGCCCATACGCGGCGTTAAGATCTGAATTGGCACAATTATTGTACCACCAGGCACTTGCACGAATTTTAGCACAGTTACTGCTAGTCTTGTCATTATCGCGATCAGTGGTGGAGAAAGACATGCCGTTATGATAAGCGAGTCTGTCCTTTGCTGTTCCAGAGTAAAACCCAACAAAAAGCGTGTAGTTAGTAGCCTGATTAGTGACTGTGAAATTACTGTATTTAGCGTACTTAATTTCATTGTTCCTTGTCTTGATTTCCACTCGCAGCTGACTCGGAATCTCTGTCAGTTGATGAATTTTCTCGTTTCCAAGCCAAAACTCACCTCCGACGTCACCAAAGCCGTTTTTGTACTCCTCCCACGCCCTGTAGAATCCAACAAAGCCATCAACGCGCTTGTGAAATACCGTCCATCCTCCCCCATCAGTCTTCATGTCACAGAACACCTCAAAACTGGTTTTGTTTGTTGGGTTCACTGTGTAAACGCCATTCTCTTTGAAGCCCACAGAAAACAGTTCAGCACAGTTCTCGGGCTGCAAAAAGTTAAACAAGGATGGATTTAATACAAATGTGGATTGAATACACAGAGAGATTAACTAACTTTCTAATTAACACTGATGCACAATTGCAACATACGAAATGAAGTGGAACTACAAACAGTGCATATTAATACAAAGCATGCCAAGTAAACCGGGCGACTTGAAAATAAGCTAAAATATTTTGCTTGCAAACGCGGGACCAATTTTCTTTTAATTAACTTTAAGTGTAATTTACTGTACATGCGCGAATAGTCTTTTAAACTCTAAAACAATAGCTGCACTAGCAAGTGAATTTGTAGAAAATTCATATGGTTATGCACTCACCTGTCTGTAAACTTTTCGACTATGGCAATCTTAGTACTAAAGGTTTACCTCCCTCCTTAAAAACAAAATGAAAGCCGAACGCCAAAACGTCTTTGCCGTGAGCAAACGATGGAGCATTTAACAATGCTTTTCAACTGACACTTTTTTTGCCTTAACCCGAGATTAAACATCGTGTACTTCTCAGCATTTCTGATTTGCCACTGCTTACCAGTTTTAACTATAAGTTGCACTTCAGTCTCCACCTGAAGCAAGCCACTCCTGGCTGAGCAGGTGTAAACACCACTGTCTTTCGCAGTCAAACTGTTAATCCTTATCTGACCGTCATTCGTATGTGTACGTTCCTCTGGAATTTTTCCTTTGCATTTTGACCAAGTGATAGTTGGTACTGGTGTTCCTTGTGCAGAGCAATTCAGTGTAACTGACTGTCCATGATAACGTTCTATCTTCTTTGGTGGCTTGACAGTAAACTGCAGTACCACATTAACGATCAAAGTCGTCATGGCGTGCGAAGTGCCCATATGGTTTGTGGCAGTACAGATATACGTTCCTGCATCCTTCCTGTCTGCTTTTGTTATAGTCAAGGTGTGGTCTTTGACTGTGGCTTTTTTCCCAGGAAGTTCATCAAAAAGCTTAGTCCAAAATACTACAGGAGGGGGATATCCAATGACGCTGCATTTAGGAAGCACCACGTCTCCACCGCTCTCTGCGTATATCGGCCCAGGGGAGAGAGAAATGTCTGGACGAGCTGTTATAGAAGGGAACATACGGTGAGAAGAAGGTTGGTTACCCATACTGGCCTTAACTTCGGTGATACGCTAAAGTATGAAATTAATCAAGAGGTCTTTTCGAGCGGTGCGTTTTTTAATAGATTACTTTCGAGGGCAATTCTAGAAAGTTCGTTTGATTTTCCATTGTTACACGTTGATTGTCTAAAGTCTTGCGCCATTTAATTACAACCTTTCAGAAGAAAAACCGAAATAATTTTGTGACTTGCTCAGACGTGATTTCATTGACTCCGAGTACATTTATTCACTTCTTTATTTGACTGGTTGGGAGATCGTTGGTGAGCTATATATAGTTTTGCGACGCTGATAGAATTGCAAAAGCGTTGTTATTTGTCTTGTTATCAGTCTCTAAAAGAAAGGTTCCGATCTTATTCTCACCTTTCACATTCAGTGTGACAGCAGCTTGAGCTGTCCCTTGGTCAGTACTAATCGTACATACGTAAATTCCACTGTCACTGACAATCACATTTTTGATGTATAGCGTCCCTTGGATGATGGAATGTCTTCCGACAGGGAGAGAGCCAGCCTCTTTAGACCAAGCGATCTTTGCGTCAACGCGCTTCCCTGCTGTGCACTGAAATGTAGCTGTCTCGTTTAAAATGACAGTCTTAACGGCTGGCTTGACCACAATCTCAGGAGCTTTGATAACATTCCCCTGTTGCCCTTTGAATGGCTGTAGAGAAGTTGGTACCGATGGGTTTGGTTCTCCAGGATCACCCTTTTGTCCCTTTAAACCAGGAGGTCCCACTGGTCCTTGAGGTCCCTGTGGCCCTGATGTTCCTGGAGGGCCCTGAACGCAAACCTGACCTTTATTGGTGCAAAATTTACGTGTTGCCATTTGAACAGCTTTGGTGATTTGTTTTTGTACATCTGGGCTCAAAGAACTTGACTCTTCTTCTGAACCTTTAACAGCTCGAGGCTTTCGTTGTGCATCGCCTTGAATTAAATGTGATGGGACATTTAAGGGGCGACCGGTATCTGCGGAAAAGCCGGAAAGCACTAGGATAAGTAAAGCATATTACAGTATTCTTCTGTCTATAAATATCACATTTATTACCTACCCTCCTCTAGTGGGGAAAGTGTAAACCGATCGTATTCTCTCCCCACCCTAGGGATATGACCATAGAAATAGACCTCGGCAGTTACTTGACTTATCTAGAGATGGCACCGTCAAAATTACACCGTCAATAAAATATTTGGCAATAAGACAGGAATTCTTGCCACAAATATCGCTAAAATGTCAAAAAGAGAACGATGAAGAGGGACCAGGGTAATGTGGTGGAGAATAGGCCTAAAACATTCCCTAAAATATTATATAAAAAACCTGCAACATGCAACATACAGCCCTTTTTGCTTTTCCGAAAACCCACTCTAGCGTCAGTGGCACCGGCTAAAGTGATGCAAATAGCGGAATGCTTTTGGGGTTGATACTACGCTTTTGCATCAGAAACGTCCCTTTAGCAGCATTTCTTTCACAAAGAGATCTCATCTCCTAGGTAAGTTTTGCTTGCCTTTGATTAAAGGCGAAGTGTCCGTTGCAGGCCTGATGAGGATCTGTTGATTTTGCTCCAGAGTCACGATCCTTTCCTTGTGAGCTCTCAGTTCCAATTCTAAACGCACAAAGCCAACGCTAAATAGAAGCACGCTGATAAACGTTACACAGCAACAACCCACAAGAAGGCGGGAAGATGCGCTGGCTGAACTCGCCATAGTGCGCAAAGCAAAGTGTTATAACAACTGAATGAATCTGTGCGACTAATTAACAATGCAAACTGATACTGAGCTATCCAGTATTGAACTGCTTTTGTTATTTTGGAAGGTCAATGGGGTCGGAGCTGCATCCCGAAAAAATCTTTTATCTGCACGCATGCTGGCATGTATCCTCGCTAAACTTTGTATGTATTCTACATCTGAACACCTTTTAAGTTAGTTTGTAATGTATGGGAGGGTAAAGTAGGTTTTAGGGAAGTAAGTATAGAACTTAACAATTAAAAACATGTAGCTTACTGCTGGGAATGTAGAATTTTCAATTTATCCTCCTTTTCTGGCCACTAGTGGGTGGGGTCAAAGGGTTACCGGATTACTGGACGTTAAGCTTACCCATGATGTTTTCTTTCTGTAAAACAATAAAGCCGGATTCTTCCTTTGGAGTGCAGCTTTTCAGGTGAACTACACGCAAAGAAAATAACGACTAATCAAATTGTAAAATTTGAAATTATTTCGGCCAAGAGCCATAATGGATCTCTTGTGTCAGCTCTCTTCGATCATGGGAATATGCCCCTAATCTTATTTCAACTTTGACAAATATTAAGGTGGTTCCGTGATTAACACAAGAGCATTTAGCTGTGACAAATTTTCCGTCATAACTTTTTCGATTTTAACGCAATGGCTGCGAAACTTTGCAAATAACAACAGATATCATTCAGCAATAATACGAACTATTCCGATTTCATTGATGGTAAATATTTCTTGAGAAATTAGCCCTTAAAAGAACCCTACTGTTCAAAGAAAATCGCGTCTAGTAAAAAATTTTGCTGATATTTTTTACTGAAATTTCTGGTATCGGCTTTAATTGATATAATAAATATGCCAGAGGAATTTCAGAAAAATCGTTGGAGCAGAAGTCCGTAACTAAAAGTCGGTCAAAATTCAGCTGTGAAATTGTTTTGGAATTTCAAAAATAAATTACTATCAGGAAGAAGGAGACACCAGTTTCAATTTTCGGGACAAGCAACTTCAGTGTGTTTCCTGATTCTGAAAACAGAAGCCGATTGCCTATCGTGCTATTCTTTAAAAGGTAATTTTCAGTTTTTAGAAGCACTATAAATTGCTCCAAACTTTGCTCTGACATCGAATGACTTGTTCCTCGACATTTTTAAAATATCCCTTGGCAGTTTTGGTTCAAACTCCTGCTACACACATTTTGATGTATTGCAAAGCATCCCCAACGGCTTTTCCTGCTTTACGTTGTTTCCAATTCAGGAAAAAGGTATTGGGATTGTAAGCTACCTAGTATCGAAGCTCAGATAGAACCGTCCAGTACCTTTGTTTATGACCAGAAAATGAACACGAGCGGCAGCTCTGCGAGGAATTCGCACCTCAGCCAGGGGGGACGAGTGACAATGATGCCCATGTCTGTGAACCGATCTGTATAAACATGTATTGCAGAGCAAAACATAATAATCAAGAAAAAAATAACCCATTCATTGAAGGAAGGAGTGACAAAAATTTCAGAGTTGTAAATTGATTCACGGGCAGTAATTTTGCGATAATTTTATTTTGCACTGTGATGTTATTTGGTTCACAAGCATGGTCATCATTGTCGTTCGTCCCCCCTGGGTGAGGTGCGAATTCCACGCAGAACTGCCGCTCGTGCTCATTTTGTAGTCATAAACAAAGGTGCTGGACAGTTCTTTCTGAGCTCTGATACGAGGTAGCGTCCAATCTCAATACTTTTTTCCTGAGTTGGAAGCAACGAACGGCAGTAAAAGTCGTTGAAAATGCACGGCAATACATCAAAATGTATGCAGCAGGAGTTTGAGCCAAAACTGCCAAGGGATATTTTAAAACTGTCGACGAACAAGTCATTCTACTTCAGAGCAAAGTTTGGAGCAATTTATAGTTCTTCTAAAACTAAAAAGTACCTTTCAAAGAATAGCACGATAGGCAATCGGCTTTTGTTTTAAGAATTAGCAAGCGTTGAATTTACTTGTCCCGAAAATTCAAACTGGTGGCTCCTTCTACCTGATAGTAATTAATTTTTGAAATTCCAAAACAATTTCACAGCTGAATTTTGACCGACTTTTAGTTACGGACTTCTGCTCCAACGATTTTTCTGAAATTCCTCTGGCATATTTATTATATCAACTAAAGCCGATACCAGAAATTTCAGTAAAAAATATCAGCAAAATTTTTTACTAGACGCGATTTTCTTTGAACAGTAGGGTCCTTTTAAGCACTAATTTCTCAAGAAATATTTACCGTCAGTGAAATCGGAATATTTTGTGTTATTGCCGAATGATATCTGTTGTTCTTTGCCAAGTTTCGCAGCCATCGCGTTAAAAAACCTAAAAGTTATGACGGAAAATTTTTCACAGTTAAATGCTCTTGTATTAATTACGGAGCCACCTTAACATATTAAGTAGTCAACCCCCTTTAATGATGGCGACTGAGAGAAAAATGTTCACTTAGTAGCTTTTCTTCAAGAACATTAGTGCCCAAGAATTCCCGGTATTCTTTCAAACAGTCTTCACTGACGTTTAATAAAACAGTGAGTGTA